CCTTACGTCGCCTAATCGTACGGCGATGATGGACTAGGGAGAATCGAATCGTTTGGTTTTCTTCGCTATACTTGTCATACCACTTTCCATATGGATCGCTTTTGAACTGTCAACTGAGATGAAGGAAAGTTGCTGCAGTTCTAAACTATCGAAACAACAGCTTTGAATATTCAGTTAAATTGAGGCTGAACTTTTTCTCCTCAAAAATATTTCGTGGGGCTTAGCAAGCCGGTGAACACAATCTACAAAAATGACTCCATCGCACGAAGCTAATCTTGCCATGCGAGGCTGCATGGACAGCTGATGCCGGCTTTGAAGGTCTGGACAACAGTTCCCTGGAGTTCTTATAACCTTCAGACAAATCACGCAACACTAACTGCTGGCTGAATTGCGTTCGGTTTTCTCATCTCTAACAACTCCAGAACAGCCTTTCGTAACTGGAAAACTACGTCATTTCGTGAAGGTCAGAAAAGCCAGATTATGCTAGCAGTGCTAAATTGAGATAAAAAATAAAAATCATGCTCGGTTTGATAAATCATGGCAAAAATTATGCTGGCAAAATCGACAAAAGCCTACAGGTTAAACCACTAAAACCGTTGGCGAATCAAGGTCAATCAAAGTAGCGAGTAGATGACCCGATTGCGACCAGACTCATCTTAGAATTGGTTCGGTTTTCCAAGAATTGGGGACGATCTCTGGCTGGTACGAACTGATCTACTTGGCAATAAGTTGATGTTGAGTACAAGGCATTTGCGTGATCTTGAGGAGTTGTGAAATCGTGAAGATGGCTGATTTTGCATCCTTGGCTAACCTGTTTCTTCTTCTGAGCATCACGGTACACCCGAGCGTTCAGGACAAAGGCACAACTCCCCGAATTAAAGAAATAGTGGTCGGTAGATGCTATGATTACCAATACAAAAAATTTGGCTCGAATTCAACAACTTGGAAGAACTGCAGTAAGATCTGGAACACGTTTCACAGGGCATTTGCTTGCAAGAATCCTTGTAACTTAACCTTTGACGACTACAAGCCGTATTTTGACGAGGTTGGAATGGCGGAGATTTACAATAAGGTGAGGACTGACTTTGCAGATCTACATCGTGGGAATTATGTAAAGGTCGAAGCCCCTTGGGTTCCAAATTGTGCTGTAAGAAACCCTCTATTACCGGTTACATCGATGGCGCGCTAATTGAGTATGTATTTTCAGTTCTAAAAATCCGCATACTATAAAGTCACAACCCGCATCGCTAACAGAAGTTGAACACATGTAAAAACATGAATAATCATCGCAGTTATGTACACAGCTTAAGCAGCTGTGAAAATAAAGTCTCAAAAATAATTCAGGCTTGAACGGAATTCGAACCCATGACCACTGCATGCCCACTGCATGGGAGCTGATCACGTTGTGAGTTCGTAATATACCCGTAAAGGGAGAAGAATTCAAGTGAATATATAAAAGATCACATATTTGAACTGTAAAGAAAGACGTTAAGACATTAATAATCAGCCTATACGAGACACATACGAGTATAACTAGTATTTACATCTATTCTCCATAATTTGCAAAATCCTAGCCGTGACAGTTCGCAAGGTTCTTGGAATTTTACTGATTTCATCCTCCGTCCGCTGTTTCGACATTTACCAAGAAACGTGGCCAACAAACTTAGCTTACAGCTTGTTCATAATAAAAATTATAAATTAGTGCTCCCTGTTTGCTTTAATGAATTGAACCACGAGCTATTTTCTATTTACTGCTTTAATATTTCCTGCTAACACAAAGTGAAACCCGTTTGTCACGCAGATTCATCTGGACACATAAGCGAGATTCTTCTGTCACAATGTGAGGTTATCCAAGAGCGTAGAGAAGTATTTACTAAAGCATTCAGAAAATGCACTTAAATGGGTAAATAGTGTCCCCAATTAGTTTTTTTTTAAGCTAAATACTATTGACACTTAAATAAAGTCATTCATTCACTCATTCATTCATTCATTCATTCATTCATTCATTCATTCATTCATTCGTCTGACAAAGACAAGGACCCTCAACAATTGGGTTCGTAATTTGTAAGGTCGGCACATTAGGGGACAAATGTATAAGCGAAGGAAATTGTTCTCCCCCGGAGACGTGTTGCAGCCACAGTTTCCCCGTGAGACATTCCCTTTGAATTTTGTCACACCGCATCGTGTGCACCAGCTCGAAATTGTGTTCTATGCGTACAGCTGATGCACACAACCGGCCTTGTCCCCGCGCGTCACGTCCACTCAAAATGTCCCCTTAGTTTGTGCCGACCTCAATAATTATACCCGATATAGTTTGTTTAGATTTTCCTTTGTTCTCCTCTTCCCTTCTTTCATAGAGCCTGTTTTGGTCAGGAACGTACAAAGCTGTGCATTCCTATTCAGAATTTGACGTGCGCTTCACAACCTTAGAAGACACCATGGCTGGGTAAGGAAAGAGTTAACACCACTGAAATTCTTAAATGCTTTCGCATTGATATAAGTGATGGCTTCAGATAGCGTATTTAAATTAAAATTTCCATTGTATTTTCTTTTTCCTTGTATATGCTTATTTCTGATTGAAGCTTTTTTCATGAGCACGCTGACTGAGGCAGAGATAGACCAGAAAAGATGGGGTAGTGCATGGGGATGGGGGGTGGGGGATGGTTATTGGAATTTGAGAAAGAAGTGAGAAATTGATGTCCGATCGTTGTTTGTTTCTGGTTTTGTGTTGTTGTTTTCTAGATGGATCGTAAATGAATTGACCTTTTGTGGAAATGGAAACTTGTCTCGGAATACAACTGATGGCATTGACTACAATTCCTGTCCAAATTGGAGCAAGAAATGCGATTATACGACGCCTTTTTGGGGTCAAGCTTCTAGCATAGTAAGTTAAATAAAATATGTACATAGGAAGTAGAATGTAAAAGTAAAAGCTTCACCCAAGATCTCTCTTAATTTTTTTTTTTTCGACTGAAATTTCAATAAGCGATACTTACTTGCTTCAGTCATATGGTCATAAACAGGTGTAATGTCAGTGGTATGACTGGAAACCGAGATTCAGTGAACCAATCAGAAAGCTAAAAATGCCTTTAACGAAGTTAATAATTAAATAATTAACCTTAATTAACTTCAGTTCAGTAAATAGCTACATGTAAAAGTAGCAAACGTGGGAAAGAGGGAACGATTTAACGATGAAACGAAAGAAAGAATGATCAATGAACTTATGAACAAGCTAATGAACGAGCAGGTTGTAAAAATATTCCTAATCACTGCCGGATCTAATTTTGAATGTATAATTTTGTTTCAAAGTTTGCAGAGCATGCCCGAGGGATCGCACGAGTCATGGTGAATGGTTCCAGAGTTTCTCGAGAGGGAAATCATATTCCAGCTTATAAGAGAGACAGGTAAGAACGATGCATTTTAGGGACCTTTAGAAACGGTTGAGTTCGACAACAATTTTTGAATTTCAAACCAGAGACGTTTCCAGGGCCCTCGCTCTTCATGTTGGTTTTAATTAGAGAGGGTCGCTCATGGGATGTGATGGGTATGT